CCGTCCACCTGGTAAAACGAGAAGGCAGATCTGACAGCCTTCATCTGTCCAAACACAGCCTCGGAGTGACCTTGAATGGGGTTAGTCCCTCGTTCTTCAGTCAGACTGATGGGTTCTGTCACTGGGGTTGTCCTGCTGGGGGAGTTCCCCAGCTGGATACGGGAGAGAAAAAACAAACAAAGCATCAAAACTGCCACCACCTTCCCCGACCTTGGCGGCTCTTTTCTGTCGGTCAAAGCTGCTCGTTTCGGTTGAAGAGCTCTGTGTTGGTGCTGGGCAGCACGTGGCTCCTGTCTCCTGCCTCAGCAAAGCCACCAGCTGTGCTTCTGCAGCCACCAATTTTGGGGCAAAAACCCAGACCCAGCAGCAGTCCACGATCAGGGCTTTGCTGGGCAATCCCAACCCTAGATTAGAAACAGAGTCCAACTGGAAATAACATCAGGTGGCTCCTTGTGGTGCCCGGGGCACGTCTCCCAGGGCGTCCCCACCAGGTGTGGGAGCAGAGACCTGGGGGGATGCAGATATCTTGTGTCGTTAGTGGGTAGGAAGCTGCTTCCAGCAGGACTTGACCTGGCACACGGGGCTTTGGGACCTGCTGTGCTTCTCTGTGGTCTTTGCCATCGGTGTCACGGCCGATCGCATCCATCCTTCGGCCCGGCAGGCAGGGCTGGGAGGGAGGGTGCTGGGTCGTGGGACTGAAAATGGGCTCATCTAAGCAGAGAGTGTCTCCGTGCTGCTTGTTGGGGAGCCCTTGGGTGATAAAAGCCACCGTGCAAGCAACCCAAACAATTTGACCCACTTTTTGCAGACTCCCAAGACTACTGGCCTGCGGCCCATGGAGCACAGAGATATCTCTGCAGTGCACAAGCTCCTGACCGAGTACCTGAAGCAGTTCCACCTGACGCCCGTCATGAGCCGAGAGGAGGTGGAGCACTGGTTCTTACCTCAGGAGAACATCATTGACACCTTTGTGGTAGAGGTGAGGGGGCAGAAGCAAGACGGGGGGGGTGTTTTCCTGGGTTTCTGCCTCTGCTGGAAGAGCAGGGAGCGATCAGGGAGGTGGCTGCCCCACGCAGTGGGAGGTTTGAGCTGCAGGAGGATGGTGCCTCTCCATCCCAGGCTGCCCTGAGTCTCCTCACAAGGAGCCCACACATCACTCCGACTGGCAAAGCCGCTCTAAGGCTCCAGGGTGGCTTTATTCTGGCTCTGACTTGTTGTGGTGTCACTTCCAGAGCGCCCCAGGGGAGGTGACGGACTTCCTGAGCTTCTACACGCTGCCCTCCACCATCATGAACCACCCGACCCACAAGAGCCTGAAAGCTGCTTACTCCTTCTACAACGTTCACACCAAGACGCCTCTCATCGACCTCATGAGTGACGCTCTCATCCTCGCCAAGTCGGTGGGTGCTGGCACGGCCGAGGTGGCACCGGGCAGCTCTCCTGCCCACCCTTGGGTCTATGGGGAGGGCCGGCCGTGGGGCAGGGCTTGGACCCAGGGCTGTACTAAATCCAAATCCTAAAGGATCTGCCGGCCAGGAGGGGGGTGCAGGGGCAGCCTGAGCCCTCTGGGCAGTGCAGGGCTGAGCTCGGGGTGGCTGCTTCTTCCTCCCAGCAAATTGTCTTGCTGTCTGTCCGTAGAGCTTGAGTTGAGGGTGCCAGGGTCTTCCCCATCAGCCTCCCCCCGTTCTGGGGGTGCAGAGGTGGGCAGGAGAGGGGGGCAGGCAGCTCCCGGGTGGGATGAACCCTCCCAGCACGTTAGCAGGAGGAGCTGATGGCTTCATCTCTCTTGCCCGTGCAGAAAGGATTTGACGTCTTCAATGCACTGGATCTCATGGAAAACAAAACCTTCCTGGAGAAGCTGAAGTTTGGGATTGGGGATGGCAACCTGCAGTATTACCTGTACAATTGGAAGTGTCCCAGCATGGCACCAGAGAAGGTCAGTGCCCTGGGGGGCTGGGGTCCTCCAACACATGGGAAGGGGTATTCTACAGCCCCCCAGGAGATGAGTGTGCTGTCACACACACACACATGGGTGTCCCCGGGCCAGCAGGACACACAGGAATGGGTGAATCCAGTGATGGCTCCTCTGTACTCTTCCTGCTGTGCCTGCAGAGGGTGTCCCTGGGGAAAAGCACTCGCCACGTGTCCCCCCTGGGCTCATTTTATTCTTGGACTGGTGCAGGTTCAGTCCTTAACCTCACACACATCCACACAGACAACCTCTTCCTGCTGTGGAAGGACAGAGAGGGGACAGGCAGAGGGCTGCAGGGTGACAGATGGGACACCAGTGTGGGCAGTCGTGGTACAACCTTGACACAGGTAGTCCTGGTGTCTTGGCACTTGGTATCTTGACAGTCCTGGTGTCCTGCCACAGGTATGGAAGGGCACTTGTCCGTACCTGGAGGTGGTTGCTGTGCCCCATGAGCCCACACAGGACCCCAGTGTCACTGCACAGCACCGTAGCCTGCGTGTCAGTCTGTCACGGTGGGGTGAGACTAATAGGAGCCCCTCCAGAGAGAGCAGTCGAGTTGAGAGCTGTGGGGTCATCGTTAGGGATGTGGGGGTGATGATGGGGAGCTCTGCCAGCGCGGTCATTTGCAGCACATGCAGAGGGGCTGAGCCCCAGAGGGTCTCTGGGGTGTCACCTTGTCCCCAAGGCCAGCAGCTCACTCCCCACCAGCGGCTCTGGGCACTTGCAGCTGTGCCTGTAGACCCCCATCTGTCTGCCCTGGACCATTTTTGGGGAGCACCTGGTTGGTTACTGTGTCCCCACCTTGAAGATGTGGTTGAGCATCTCTCTGGTTCACAGCCCCCTTGGAGGGGACGGTGCTTGAGAACCAGAAGCCATCAGGCTGCTCAGCACCGCAGCCTGCCCACACTACATCCCAACAGCTAATTCACAGAATCTTCTAGGTTGGAAGGGACCTTAAAGATCATCTTGTCCAACCGTCAACCTGACTGACAAAAATAGACACCCACACAACAAACAAGGAGCATCATCACTAAACCATACCTCCCAGCACTACATCAACCCGGCTTTTGAACACCTCCAGGGATGGTGCCTCAACCACCTCCCTGGGCAGCCCATTCCAATGCCTGAGAACCCTTTCAGTGAAAAACTTTTTCCTAATATCCAGCCTGAACCTCCCCTGGGGCAACTTGAGGCCATTTCCTCTTGTCCTGTCGCCTGTGACTTGAGAGAAGAGACCGACCCCCACCTCTCTACACCCTCCTTTCAGGGAGTTGGAGAGAGCAATAAGGTCTCCCCTCAGCCTCCTCTTCTCCAGGCTGAACACCCCCAGCTCCCTCAGCCTCTCCTCACAAGACTTGTGCTCCAGACCCCTCACCATCTTTGTTGCCCTTCTCTGGACCCGCTCCAGCACCTCGATGTCTTTTTTATGGTAGGGAGCCCAAAACTGGACACAGTACACAGTAATTAATGCCTTAACGGCAGTAACGAGGCTTTGGTTCACGTTGTGTGAAGCCAGGTCTCTGTGGGTAGAAGCTCAAAGGCCTTAAAGCAGCCTCGCTGTGCCACCGAGCCGTTCAGAGCTCCAGGAGGTTGCCAGGAAGTTTAAGCAATCCCTTTTCTCACTGGGAGAGCTGGTCGGTTGGAGACCCTGCTGCTGGGAGCTGCTCTCTGGTCCTACCCTGCAGTGGGGTGTTCCAGTGGGTCAGAGCCTGGAACCAGCCACTGTGTCCTGTCACACAGCGTGTCCTGTCACAGCATGCCCTGTCACACAGCATGTCCTGTCACACAGTGGCCAGAGGAGCAGCCAGCAGTGCCAGCCACCTCAGAGGGGACTGTCCCGGTACCAGGCTCTCGGGAAGCAGCTTCTCCCAGATCTGTCTAGGACAGGATGAAATGGCCTCAAGTTGTGCCAGGGGAGGTTTAGGATGGATATCAGAAAAAATTTCTCCCCCAAAAGGGTTATCAAGCATTGGAGTGGGATGCCCAGGGCAGTAGTGGAGTCACCATCCCTGGAGGGATCTAAAAGCCGGGCAGACGTGGTGCTGAGGGACATGGATCAGTGGTGGTTTGGGCAGTGGTGGGTTGGTGGTTGGACTTGAGGATCTGAAAGGTCCCTTCCAACCTGGACTTTTATGGTTCTATTTGGCTCAGAAGCAACTTTGGCTCCTAAATCAAGGCTGTCTCCCAGTGGCAAAGTGGGGCTTGTCACACCCCAGACATCGGTCACCTTCCCAGATGGGAGCCAGGCAGAGTCCATGTGCCCCTTGGGCTGTGAGCCCAGGGCTCTCCCTGCTCTCAAATACCCCCAAAACCAGTGGGGAAAACCCACCTGGACAACCCTGAGCTTCCCAGCCAGGGTGTGCAAGCTGCGTCTGCCCGGAGCCAGGTCTGGGGCAGAGGACCCTGGTGATTGTCCCCCTGTACTCAGCACTGGGGAGGCCACACCTGGAGTGTTGTGTCCAGTTTTGGGCACCTCAATCCAAGAGAGATCTGGAGGTGCTGGAGCGAGTGCAGAGGAGGGCAACGGAGCTGGTGAGGGGGCTGGAAAACAAATCGTATGAGGAGAACCTGTTAGAAAGGCCTGTAGTGACAGGACGAGGGGCAATGGCTTCAAGCTGGAGGGGAACAGATTTAGACTGGAGATGAGGAGAGGGTT